TGGTGTTGTAAATTAGTTAAATTAGCCTCCCTGCAAAGCAGTACCTATTATCACCTACTTGACAGATGCAACTGTCTTTCGGGCTCCATAGGTCAACAGCAAGCTAGCCTATTAATGGTTGGGAGCTCACTCCAACCTGGGCTGGCTTCAAACTCATGACCTCTCGGTCAGTAGTGATTTAATGGAGCTGGCTACTAACTAGCTGAGCCACAGCCTGATCCTAATGTGTGTAAAACCCCAGCACCAACTTCTAGGAAGCAAAGCATATGAAAAAAGGTGGTGGGACCAACACGTTTACTAATACATATAGTAAGAAATGTAGAAAAATAGTAAGACACCAAAACACTTAAATACTTAATGTGCTTTAATCTGTTTTTTAAATGATATTTTAATGGCGTTATGTTTTATATTTTAACTGTGTCACACATTGTCTCAAGCCATCAATTATTATTGTTGTTCTTGTTGCATTACAGAGAATAAATCCAAATATCAAACAGCAAAGCAAATACAAGGGATGCAATCCAGTTTCATGGGAAACAAGAATTTTGCAATGAATTGTTTTAAGGAAAATCCAGCAGCCAGTTTTTAAAGAGTCATATTTAAACACAAATCAACAAGTACTATGGAGATGACGTATTTCCAAGAAGAGAATGAAGCCAGAAATCCAACAAAGCTGGCAAGCAATTTGAAAACAGCAATGCTTGAGATGAGAGCAAAGTTTAGTTCACTCTTATTGTTTGCAAGACATTGATTATGTGATATTTAGGTATGTTTTATGCCTTATCATTTTTCTGTAGCTTTCAAACGTGTTAGTACAGTTTTTCTCAACCCGAGGGTTGGGACCCCTGGGGGGCGGGGTTGCAAAGGGGTTTCAGATGGGTCACCAAAGACCATCAGAAAACACATATTTCTGATGGTCTTAGGAACCCCTTTGGCAGAGAAGGCTGAAGATCTCTCTGCCTGTCCTTCTCTTCCTTTTTGGAAACAGATGACAAATCCTTCTACCAAAAGCCCTCCTCCACTGTGATTGGCCAGCCTCTCAGCCAAGGGGAGGGCTGTTTCTGAGACGCCAAGCGGGGGAGAGGAGAGCAGGCATGCTTGGTGCATGGCAGCATGGCCATGCACCAAGGGGAGGGAGAACATGTGAAGCTGGAAGTAATGGTGAGCTAGCCAGGGGCCCTTGCCCTGAAGCTGATCTGACCTGCAGCAGGGGGTTCCGCAGTTCTCCGTTGCCCGCTTGGGACAGCATCCAAGGGAACGTGGCCACAGCAGCAGCTTCAACCAAAGACTCTCCTTCTGCTTTACTTTCTTCCCCTACCTAACATTGTAACAAACCCCCCAAGAAAGTATCAATTAATTGTAACTTTTTCCTCTCTATAATGTTACTTTGTGTCCTTTACTGCCTCCAACCCATTCTCTGCAAGAAATTTCTCTCTCCGGGGCTGCAGATGGCTGCTGGCCTGCCCAGGATGCAATTCCAGCATCCCAGGGAGGCTGAAAATGCATTCCTCCTAACCGTGGATACTGAAACCTATTGGGTCCCCGTATCCACCGGTCAACGGATTGCCTGAAAATCGGTGCCATTCTTCTTTTAGACTAATTTCAAGACTAATGGCTATGTCACTTTTGCTCTGCCAACCTCTCTGCCCTGGGAATAACCCTTTTTGCCCCCCAAACCCAACTTAGAGCCCAGCTGGCTCTCTACTGCTATAACATTGCTGTCGCTATCTCGTTGATGCCTGAAGAGCCTGTTAACCTGGGGAACCTGTTGCAGCCACCCCTTGTGGCCCCCAGGAAGCAGACGACCCATCCTGGTCCTTGACAAGATGGGATCTATAGTTTTCTCCATTTTCCAAAGTGGACCTCAACCTCCAGCGCTGGCAACCACTTCCCAAAGACTCAATGGACTCTGGGGCATCTGCCCCCATGGATTCTATAACTTTTTCAGAACTTTAATAAACTTTTTTCAACTTTTGGACACTTTTTGGAACTTTTCCTTCTTTAAGCCTCATGGGCTCCCTTTTATGATTTTAGGATTTTATGTTTTCCTGGCTTTAGACTTTTTATGGACTCTGGTGGGTGGGGTGGGCCAATATGAATTTCTTTTTCCCTTTCCCCCCCATGTATACCTTATGAACCCCATATATGTGTCTATGTATGAAATATGGAGAGCCACCTTTTCGTGACCCCAGCATGACAAACTCTTGGGAAATTCCTTCCTATTTCTTGAGATGAATTCCCCATTGACCTAAGGACTCCAACAAAGACTTATTGCATGACAATAATAATGGTGCCCCTCGGGTCTCGGAGCATGGCTACCCAGGCGAGCACCCTGCGGTGACTCAATAATTCCTCAACAATGGGACATCCTGCCTTCAGGGAAGATCAGGGTGCCCCATCCGCCTCACTCATTGTCTTTGCACCCTTGGCTGAAACCAACGCATAGATAGCATCAATTGAGCCCATATCCAGGACTAGAGACTATTAAGGCTTGGCAGCCATGCCACCCACTTTTGTATATTTCACCACCACAAGATAATACCAGGCCAGCTTGAGGAATCCCCAGATTATCGCCGGCCATCAGACAAGCCATTAAGTCACGTTTAATCCATTCATTTTTCTCTCAGTTTTTTGTTTCCTGCTTGCACCGCCTCCACGCTCCTCATTGGCTGAGGAGCTGAAGCGGCGCTGGCTTCCCTACTGGCTGAGGCACACCTAAGCCCGCGCCTCCCCTCCAGCTGATGACACTGACCAATCAGAGTAAAGCCAGCAAGGGGGCGGGGGTGGGAAGTTTGAATTTGACAGTTCTGTTTCTCTATAAAAACATACTGTTTTGCCTTGTATGGTATGTCTGCTTGACAAATGATCGCGGTATGACATCCTTTCCAGCTGGATCGCAATAAACAACTTGGTGGCTTTTCTTCAACTTGGTGAGACTTTTATTGGGAAAAATCAGGCAAAAATCTTGGATGCTTTTTCTGTCTCGCCAAGGTGAACGGACTCCCTTTGGTGAGTCTAATTGGTCTCTGCCCCCTGGCAAAGATCCCCAAATTCTTGCTCGATATCAGAGGGAGGCTCACACCAGCGAGTCCCTTCAAAGCAGGGGCTTCTGTGGGAAAAGTTAGTCTCCTTGATTGTAGGTGAACTATAAATCCCAGCAACTACAACTCCGAAATGTCAAGGTCTATCCTCCCCAAACTCCACCAGTGTTCACATTTGGGCATATTGAGTATTTGCGCCAAGTTTGGTCCAGATCCATCATGGTTTGAGTCCACAGTGCTCTCTGGATGTAGGTGAACTACAACTCCCAAACTCAAGGTCAATACCCACCAAACCCTTCTAGTGTTTTCTGTTGGTCATGGGAGTTCTGTGTGCCAAGTTTGGTTCAATTCCATCGTTGGTGGAGTTCAGAATGCTCTTTGATTGTAGGTGAACTATAAATCCCAGCAACTACAACTCCCAAATGACAAAATCATAATTTTTGAGTGATGGTCACTCCTTGTGTTGTGAGATTTTGTTGCCAAATTTGGTGTGATTTCGTTCATTGGTTCTTTTGTTTTTAAGGTACTCATTATGCACAGAGCATTTTTATATATATAGATAGTGGTTCTCAACCTTCCGAATGCCTAGACCCCTTAATACCATTCCTCATGTTGTGGTGACCCCCAACCATAACATTATTTTTGTTGCTACTTCTTAACTGTAACTTCGCTACTGTTACAAGTTGTAATGTAGATATCTGATATGCAGGATGTATTTTCATCCACTGGACCAAATTTGGCATTTGGGAGTTGTAGTTGATTTTTGTCATTTGGGAGTTGTAGTTGCTGGGATTTATAGTCCACCTACAATCAAAGAGCATTCTGAACTCCACTAGTGATGTAATTGAAACAATTTAGAACACAGAACTCCATGACCAACAGAAAATACTAGAAGAGTTTGGTGGGCACTGACCTTGAGTTTTAGAGTTGTAGTTCACCTACATCCAGAGAGCACTGTGGACTCAAACAATAATGGATCTGGACCAAACTTGGCATAAATACTCAATATGCCCAAATGTGAACACTGGTGGAGTTTGAGGAAAATAGACCTTGACATTTGGGAGTTGTAGTTGCTGGGATTTATAGTTCACCTACAATCAATAATATTCTGAACCCCACCAACAATAGAATTGGACCAAACTTCCCACACAGAACCCTCATGACCAACAGAAAACACTAGAAGGGTTTGGTGGGCATTGACCTTGAGTTTGGGAGTTGTAGTTCACCTACATCCAGAGAGCAGTGTGGACTCAATGATGGATCTAGACCAAACTTGGCATGAATACTCAATATGCCCAAATGTAAACACTGGTGGAGTTTGGGGAAAATAGACCTTGACATTTGGGAGTTGTAGTTACTGGGATTTATAGTTCACCTACAATCAAAGAGCATTCTGAACCCCACCAACGATAGAATTGGGCCAAACTTCCCACACAGAACCCCCATGACCAACAGAAAATACTGTGTTTTCTGGTGGTCTTTGGCGACCCCTCTGATCCCTGGCAACCCCTCCAGGGGTCCCGACCCCCAAGTTGAGAAATGCTGATATAGATGATTCTGTGATCCTAAGCTTGGATAACAGTGAAAGGCTGGATGTCAGGAGTGATGTTGATCGTGGCAGAATGAGATGGGACTAGGTGACCCTTGAGGTCTCATCCAACTCTAGGACTGTATGGTTTGGTTCAGTGGTTTCCCCTGAACCGGCTCAACTTGGAGAGCTGTCAGCCCGGTGCCGCTTCCTCTTTGCTTTGACAGCTTGTGGCAACTGGGTGTCGCATTTGCCACACTGAAGCAGGGGAAGTGGGTGTGGGATGGGCTGGGAAGGGATGTGGGTGTTCTCTCTGCCTCCCTCCTCCAACAGGATTCGGGGAAGGAGAGCATGAAAGGAGCAGGACAGCTGCTGCCGGGGCAGGGCCAGTCTGGGCAAGCCAGCCTCAGAGCTGCTCCTTGGGTGCCTCCTCCTCTTTTTTCTCCTCCATCTCCTCCTCCTCTTCTTTCACCTCCTCTCTTGGCGCAATAGCTGCTGCCTGTTGCTTTGTCCTGGACAGAAACATTGGATGAAAGCAATGGGGACCTTTCCATGGACTTTGCAACACTTAAGGTTCCTGGACTGAACATGGAAAAGCAAGCAACTTGAGAAGCCTTCCCAGGAAATCCAAAAAACTGTAAGTTATGACTCGATGCGTGCGCTTCCTTTCTTGTATGTAACAGGTTGCTGAACATCTTGCACAACACGTTGCGGCCCAGTGCCAGCGATTAAACTCCAAAGATCAAGACACTTCTCGTAAAAGGTTGCAGGAGACGCCTCCAAACAGGGCGAAAGGTGTGACACTCTTGTCCTGTCCCGATGGAAAAACTCTTGGAGATCTCCCCCACTTTTTATTCTGCCTCCTCCAGGTTCTGACAGCAAATCTGATCAGGGTTTCTATCTCTCCAGTCCTATTTTTAGCTTCTGTTTTCTTCCCCCTCCTGCTTGTAAATAAGTTGTGACCTGCCTGAAGTTTGAGAGAGAGGCGCAAAGCTGTGAGTGTGATTTACAGTTGCCAAGGGGAAGAAAGGACAGGCTCCTAAGCCTTTAAGAGTTGGAATTGTGTGGAAGAGTTGTGCAAAAGGGGGAATTTGAACTGCTGGGGATTGTCATGCAACAGAGTGTACAAAATCCCCTCTTTTACATGGCTACTTCCTGCACAGGAGCCCCATCCTCTTGTTTCACTTGGCAACCTTAATGTAGGCATGCTTTCCTCAACTCTCCAGGCACGTGGGAGCGCATCTACACCAGTGTTTCTCAACCTTCCTAATGCCACGAACCCTTAATACAGTTCCTCATGTTGTGGTGATCCCCAACCATAACATTATTTCGTTGCTACTTCAGAACTGTCATTTTGTTACTGTTATGATTCGTCATGTAAATACCAGATATGCAGGATGGATATTCATTCACTAGACCAAATTTGGCACAAGTACCCTATACACTCAAATCTGAATACTGGTGGTTTAGGGGGGATTGATTTTGTCATTTGGGAGTTGCAGTTGCTGGGATTTACAACCTGCTTTGTCTCCAAAAAACAATGAGATTCAAATGCTCCATGTGATGAGGTTCTTAGTGGATCACAAGCTGAACATGAGTCCACAGTGTGATGCGGCAGCCCAGAGGTCAACATGATTGTAGGCTTCATCAAGAGGAGTATAGTGTCTGGATCAAAGGAAGTCATAGTCCCCCTCAATTCTGCTTTGGTCAAACCTCTTCACTTGGAATAACCCTGTGTCCAGTTCAGGGCACCATATTTCAAGAAGGACCATAGCCAGCTCTTATGTTTCATTAGAACAAAAATTCCAAAACATTGGATATTAACTTCTGTTAAGTTGACTTTTCGTGACCGTGCAACCAGGAGAAATCCAAGTCACTCTATTGTCTCCAGCCCTGCTCAGATGACTGTCTGAAATCCTGTTGGTTTGTCCCAACAAGAGTAGACCCAATGAATAACCTATGTTGTCACATAAGGTAATCCCATTCATTAAACCAGTGTTTCTCAACCTAGATTTTGTCATTTGGGAGTTGTAGTTGCTGGGATTTATAGTTCACCTACAATCAAAGAGCATTCTCAACTCCACCAACGATAGAACCAAACTTGGCACACAGAACTCCCATGAACACTGGTGGAGACTGGGGAAAACAGACTTGACAGTGTAGTTGCTGGGATTTATAGTTCACCTACAATCACAGAGCATTCTCAACTCCACCAACGATAGAATCAAACTTGGCACACAGAACTCCCATGACCAACAGAAAATACTGGAAGGGTTTGGTGAGCATTGTTCTTAGGTTTGGGTGTTGTAGTTCACCTACATCCAGAGAGCACTGTGGACTCAAACCATGATGGATCTGGACCAAACTTGGCACGAATACCCAATATGCTCAAATGTGAACACTGGTGGAGACTGGGGAAAACAGATTTGATAGTGTAGTTGCTGGGATTTATACTTCACCTACAATCAAAGATCATTCTGAACTCCACCAATGATGGAATTGAACCAAACTTGGCACTCCCATGACCCACAAAAAATACTGGAAGAGTTTAGTGGGTATTGATTTTGAGTTTTGGAGTTGTAGTTCACCTACATCCAGAGAGCACTGTGGACTCAAATGTTCAGCTTGACTCATGATGGATCTGGACCAAACTTGGTGCAAATACTCAATATGCCCAATTGTGAACACTGGTGGAGACTGGGGGAAACAGATTTGATAGTGTAGTTGCTGGTATTTATAGTTCACCTACAATCAAAGAGCATTATGAACCCCACCAATGATGGAACTGAACCAAACTTGGCACTGCCAAAAATAATGGAAGGGTTCGGTGGGCATTGACCTTGAGTTCTGGAGTTGTAGTTCACCTACATCCAGAGAGCATTGTGGAGTCAAACTATGATGCATCTGGTCCAAATTTGGCACGAATATCCAATATGCCCAAACGTGGACACCGCTGGAGTTTGGGGAAAATAGACTTGACATTGTAGTTGCTGGTATTTAAAGTTCACGTACAATCAAAGAGCATTCTGAACCCCACCAAGGAAAGAATTGGGCCAAACTTCCCACACAGAACCCCTTGTGACTAGCAGAAAATACTGCTTTCCGATGAGGCTCCTTCTTTGGAAGCTTTTAAACAAAGGCTGGATGGCCATCTGTCAGGGGTGCTTTGAATGCAATATTCCTGCTTCTTGGCAGAATGGGGTTGGACTGGATGGCCCATGAGGTCTCTTCCAACACTATGATTCTATGATTCTACAATTCTATCTTTGGTGACCCTTCTGATCCCGACCCCCAGGTTGAGAAACACTGATCTACACAGTAGAATGAATGCAGTTTGACACTGTTTTCACTGCCATGGCTTTAGAATAATAGGAGTTGTAGTTTTACAAGGTCTGCCATGGCTTTAGAATCGTAGGAGTTGTAGTTTTACAAGCCAAGACTCCAGAGGACAGGAGCAGGATTCAAAACTATCTTGACAGATTAGAGAGATGATTGGCCAAAACTAACAAAATGAAGTTCAACAGTGACAAATGCAAGATACTCCACTTTGGCAGGAAAAACGAAATGCAAAGATACAGAATGGGGGACAATGCCTGGCTCGAGAGCAGTACGTGTGAAAAAGACCTTGGAGTCCTCGTGGACAACAAGTTAAACATGAGCCAACAATGTGATGTGGCGGCAAAAAAAGCCAATGGGATTTTGGCCTGCATCAATAGGAGCATAGTGTCTAGATCTAGGGAAGTCATGCTCCCCCTCTATTCTGCTTTGGTTAGACCACACCTGGAATATTGTGTCCAATTCTGGGCACCACAATTCAAGAGAGATATTGACAAGCTGGAATGTGTCCAGAGGAGGGCGACTAAAATGATCAAGGGTCTGGAGAACAAGCCCTATGAGGAGCGGCTTAAGGAGATGGGCATGTTTAGCCTGAAGAAGAGAAGGCTGAGAGGAGACATGTTAGTTGTGGATAAATATGTGAGGGGAATATGTCATAGGGAGGAGAGAGCAAGCTTCCTTTCTGCTGCCCTGGAGACTAGGATGCAGAACAATGGCTTCAAACTACAAGAGAGGAGATTCCATCTGAACATGAGGAAGAACTTCCTGACTGTGAGAGCCGTTCAGCAGTGGAACTCTCTGCCCCGGAGTGTGGTGGAGGCTCCTTCTTTGGAAGCTTTTAAACAGGCTGGATGGCCATCTGTCAGGGGTGATTTGAATGCAATATTCCTGCTTCTTGGCAGAATGGGGTTGGACTGGATAGCCCATGAGGTCTCTTCCAACTCTTTGATTCTATGATTCTATGATTCTCTGCCAAAGAGTGTGGGTATCTCCACAAACTACAATTCCAAAGATTCCATAGTATTGAGCCACAGCACAAGGTGATGTCGAACGGTATTCATTCTATAGTGAGAGATTGAACTCTTCCTTCTGAATGGAATGCATGTTTACTCAGAAGTAAGCCCCTCTGATTTCAGGGGATTTGCACCCAAATCCATACAGATCAGACGGCGGCTTTGATAATTTTTGATCTTTTTTTTTTTACTTCTCCTTGGCCACACATTTATGGCACAGCAGCTGCCTGATGTAAAAAAGATGCTTGTTTCCCTACCCACATTTTTTGCATTGTAAAGCCATTCCAGAATTAATTGCATTCACGCTAGAGAAGTTCAAATAGATCGTTATCGGTAAGGTAGACATTCGAGTGAATATAAATAAACCCGGTTGTTGTTGTTATCGCTGTGTGTCTTAGCAATCACTGCGGCCTCAAAAACCACCCCTGTGAGGTAGGCCACCAATTTACCAGGGCTGTCAGATTAATTTCCTGCTTGGCTATGATTTGGAACCACAAGACTCCAATAGCATGTGGTTGATAGGTGAGGATGCACTTCTCTGTGAATACACACACACATATTGAGAGAAACTGCATTATATGAGTCTACACTGACCATATAAAGTAGTTTCAAACTGCATTACAAACTGTTTCTTTTTCTTCCTCCCTCCTTTATCCTCATCTTAATTATGAGGGTTGAATGAAATGTAATACCTCCACCTTCGTAACTCCACAACAGATGGCAGTACTGGTATACGTCAGGTACTGGCTTGTTCAGTAGACTCTCCTCTAGTTCCATTTTGGTGGGAAGCCTTAGCATTGAACGGTTGTGTTGTTAAAGTGAAAAGTAATGCCTCCACCTTTGTAACTCCTCAACAGATGGCAGTACTGGTATGCGTCACTTACTAGCTTGTTCAGTAGACTCTCCTCTGTAGTTCCATTTTGGTGGGAAGCTTTAGCATTGAACGGTTGTGTTGTTAAAGTGAAAAGTAATGCCTCCACTTTCGTAACTCCACAACAGATGGCAGCACTGGTATGCGTCAGGTACTGGCTTGTTCAGTAGACTCTCCTCTGTAGTTCCATTTTGGTGGGAAGCCTTAGCGTTGAACGGTTGTGTTGTTAAAGTGAAAAGTAATGCCTCCACTTTCGTAACTCCTCAACAGATGGCAGTACTGGTATGCGTCAGGTACTGGCTTGTTCAGTAGACTCTCCTCTACAGTTCCATTTTGGCAGGAAGCCTTAGCATTGAACAGTTGTGTTGTTAAAGTGTGAAGTATGGAACCCTGCTCATGTTGTTGTGTTGCACTTCA